CTGCAAGAGTCCTGCTCTGGTTTCTGAGTTACTTTTTTATTAATTTTTTTTTGATCAGTGTGTGTGTGTGTGTGTGTGTGTGTGTGTGTGTGTGTGTGTGTAGCAGAAGGAGAGCAGGGAGAATGCCCAGGCTTCACCATGCATGGGGTGTGGGGAAGGCAAAGTGCTGCAGTTGATTCTTTCCTTCTGTCTCCAAATGGGCCCTAAAAATTGAACTCAGGTCATCAGGCTTGGCAGCAATCACCTCTCTCTACTAAATCCTACTGCTGTGCCTTTGAGCCACCTTTTGTGGACTCACCCAGGAGCCTGGGTCAGCAGCCCTGCTGTTCCCGCTCCCATCCCCTGCATGCCTGGGTACCTCACTTAGGTTCCGCTGGCGGAATTCAGAAATCCCTTGGACCAGCAGGTACAGCTTCTTCTTGGCCAGAATATGCTCCCGGCCCATGCATAGGGCCTGCATGAAGTAGGAGATGTGGCCGATCTTACTGTTGAAGGTGGACGGGAGCCTGGGAGGTAAGTTGAAATGGAAGTCAAAGGTGTGGCTGCCTGCCCTTAACCAATTATCTGTAAGTGAAACACACCAAGGCCATGTGTGAGAACCATCCAGAACCTTTGCTGATGAGACCTAACCACTAGCCACAACCCTATGTTTGTTGATTGACTGAGTAACAGATGAGGAAGCTGGACCCTCCTACTCTGCCTCCATTTCTGTGAACTTTTTTTCTTTTGTTTTCTTTTTTCTTTTTCTTTTTCAAGACAGGGTTTCTCTGTGTAGCCCTGGCTGCTGTACTTCCCAGGTGCTGGGATTAAAGGCGTGCGCCACCACCGCCTGGCTGTTTATTTGTTTCTGTACATGTGTGTGTGCATGCATGAGTGCACGTGACTGTGCTTCAACCTTGGCAGGAAGTGGCCTAACCTTCTGGCCATCCATACTACTTTTTTTGTTGTTGTTTTTCTTTTTTTTTTTTTTTTTAATTTTTGTTTTTTGAGACAGGGTTTCTCTGTGTAGCCCTGGCTGTCCTGGAACTCACTATTTAGAACAGGCTGGCTTCAAACTCACAGAGATCCTCCTGCTTCTGCTTCCCTTGGGCTGGGGTCAAAGGCTCCTGTGCCCACTGACCTGTTTATGACCTCCCCTCCCCTGCAGTGTCTGTAATGTTACTAACATTATCTATTGGATTTAGTGTTGTAAATTTAATACTTCACATACATTTGTAAAACAGTAGGTGTTCAATAAATGCCTGAGTAGCTGAGTGAGTCACAGGTTAAACTCTGTTTTTCTTTTCTAAAGATGAGTCTGCCTTCATGTTTGCCTGCACACCAGAAAAGGGCACCCAATCTCATTACAGATGGTCGTGAGCCACCATGTGGTTACTGGAATTGAACTCAGGATCTCTGGAAGAGCTGTCAGTGCTCCTAAAGGCTGAGCCATCTGTCCAGCTGCCCCCAACAACCCCCCCCCCGACCCCCCGTCTTCTGTCTCTCTCTGTTGTTGTTGTACTGTCTTTCAAGACGTGCTTGGCTGGCCTGAAACTCCTTGTGTAGGAAGACCTGCCTTCCTGATCTGACTGTCCTGTCTCTATCTCCAATGCTGAGTGACAGGGATGCACCATCATGCCTGGCTTACATGGTGCTTGGAATTGAACCCAGAGCTCAGGTCCCAAACTGTCAGGAATCCTCCTGCCTCACCCTCACTGACAGATGGACACATGGGCAAAATAGTCATGCATATGAAAATTAATATAAGATACTAACAACAAAACCTGGGAGGGGATGCACACTTTTAACCCCAGCACTCTCAAACGCAGAGGCAGGTAGATCTTTCAGCTTGAGGCTAACCTGGTCTTCAAAAAGAACAGCCAGGGCTACACAGAGAGATAATTTAAAAACAAAATACCAAAGTTGGAAATCCTTTGAACACCCACAAGAACCCAATGACACAATCTGGGAGGGGGACAGAACTCCCCGGGCAGTGCTCAGGGTGATGTAATGTCAGAGTTGTGATGGCTGGATTGTGAACTTTTGTCCCTAGTTCTCTGTCCTCCCCTCTTCTCCTATGACCTTCAAGTCACAATACCAGAGGGAGACATTCATGTAAGCTAATAAGAGTGACGACTTAGAGAGCCTCACACAGCCATTAGCAGGACTGAACACAGTACTTCCCAGGGATCTTTGGGGGTTCATTGTGAACGTCCCTGCCCAAACTGGTTCTCCACTCTTCACATCTTCATACTGGTTATTATTTAACATAACCTGCCTCTGCCTATCTCTAACTCACTCGAATGATACTCCTAAGAGATTGTTGATTGACTAGCAGATGTGTTTGCTTTCCCACCCCAGGCCGCATTCTTACCTTTTATTGGGAATGTTTTTGTCTTATGTACGTAATCTGCCTTATTATTGCAAATAACATCTCTACTATAATCACGGGTCTCTCCGATTTCTTCGTTCCACTCAACGTAACCCCTACCGACAAGCTCCACCTTCACGACGGGGTCCACAAGGGTGCTGTTGAGGGTGAGGACCACCTGCCCGTCTATGCTCGAGCCGGCCAGGTAGACCGCATCTTGGGGCAGCACTACCTCGATGGACTTCACCACAGACATGGGAGGTTGGGCGTGGGAGACACATCCTCCCCCTCCCCCAAGTATTACCCAGATCCCCCTGGGTTCCTCAGCTGTGGTGACCTCTGTGACATCGCTCCACCCAGTGTTCCAGGAAGGGGACAGGTGCTCTGCTAGCCCAGGCCTGAACTTCTTCTGTATCCAAGGATGACTCTAAACTCCTGATCCTCTTGCCTCATCTCCAGGACCACCCTCACCCCAGTCCTGATTCTAGCATTCTAGGACATTATAGCAAAGCAGAACCCTCCACTCTGGGCCTGGAGCTTCAGGCTTGTCACCACAGAAACTTAGGGGGCTGAGGCAGGAAGCTCAAAACAGTTCAAGGCCAGCCTGGGCAACTTTGTGTGACCCTTAAAGTAAAAGAACTTGTATGCTTGGGGGCTTATGCCTTTAACCTCAACACTTGTGAGGCAAGAGGACTGCTAAGTTTGGGGTCGGCCTGGGGTATGTAGTGAGTTTCAGGACACTAAAGCCTAAGCAAGATGTCCTGACGCTCCATGGGCACATCCTGTTCATTATGGTCTGTCTGTCTGTCTGTCTGTCTGGTCTTGTTCAATTGTTTCCATAAACAGTGACATCATGTTGCCTTGTTTTATTTTTTTTGTTGTTTTTTTTAAAAAAAGATTTGTTTATTGTAAATGAGTACACTGTAGCTGTCCTCAGACACACCAGAAAAGGGCATCAGATCCCATTACAGATGGTTCTAAGCCACCATGTGGTTGCTGGGAATTGAACTCAGGACCTCTGGAAGAGCAGTCAGTGCTCTTAACCACTGAGCCATCTCTCCAGCCCTCACCTTATTTAAATAAAAAATTATATATATGTTCGTTATGTGTGTGGGCACATGTATATGAAGGTTGAAACTCATAGAAGTCAGTTTTCTTCCACTATTTGTATTATGTCTGGTAATTGAGCCAGGTCTCCAGTCTTGGCAGTAAACACCTTTACCAGTGGAAGCTACCTTGTCCGCCCTGACTTTTAATGTTAATTCCTTTTGCTATATGCACTTTTGAGACAGGGTCTTATGTTTATGCAGCTCAAGCTAAAGACGGTGTTGGACGGCTGATCCTCCTGCCTCTACTTTTCAAGTGCTGGGGTGCCAGGAGGCCATGCCCATCTGGGAAATCCTTCCTCATCATACAAATCCCTGTTGTCCCAGATCTTGGAGATGAGAGGTGAGGGCCTGGACACCTTTGGGGCTCACAGAAAGATACATCTTAGGAGGGACAACCTTGTAAGAGCCCCACAAATGCTCTGAGTATAGTAGTTAGCCTAGAACTAGCAAGGCGGAGGCTCTGGAATTCTAAGACATCTCCAGCTACAGAGCAAGTTGGAGGGTAGCCTAGGCTATATGAGACTCTTTTTAAAAAGAAAAACACAGTTAAACAAAAATTGGAAATCTTTCTGCTTAAGGACTTCCAAGACCAACGCCCTTCACATGACCTCTGTCTTACTTGTCCCAGCCCAGGTGCTGCCTCCTGCCTTTCTACGCCAAGCCTTCTCTATACCTCATGTGTCCTTGGCTTCTCCAGCCGGAAGTGCCTCTGTCCCAGCCCCCACGTGGCCACTGGTCACGTCCGGCCTCATGACTTGTGGTTGTACCTGGAATTGTCCTCTATGTTTATTACTTTCTTCTCCATTGGTTTCTAGATCAGGACTTGCTATCCCAGAGATGGCAAGCGCTGGAGGGGAGGGTGTGCCTTGCAAGTGGTTGGACCCCCTAACTCTGGTTTCTCTGTCCACTAGTTACTGCACAGATAGCCAGCCAGAGTGCCCACTAGGAATGGTTAGAATGGAGCAGGCGGGGGTGGAGGGGGCAGGGAGGCCCTGCAGGCCTGGACAGCTTGCAGAAGGCGGGGTGGGGGTGGGGAAACCAGGCGGGAAAGAAGCCCTGTGGGTGGGTAATGTGAGAGCACACCGGTATCGCTCGCTCTGATTTTACACATTGAGCTCAGACCAGACATGGAGTGCAGGGTATCTGGTGGGGAGGCACACCTCAAGTTCCCCTACGGGATATGGATATAGATTCAGGGCTGCTTAGATTAAGAGGTCAAAGTTTGTCCAGCTGAGAGGGAATAGGCATGTAGTGGGGTCAGTAGTCTTTCTGGGAGGGGGGGTGTCCCTTCCTCCTCTCCCGGTATTGCTATGAGGTTTACATGGTGGAGGACCTAGGCCTCTTTGGTAAACTGGGCACAGCCGGCAGGGCAAGTCCGTGAAGTGTTGGGCGGAGTCGGGGGTGGGGTAGATCCTCGGTCGTGGGGACGCCCCACTTGCTTTCTCGCTTCCCGCCACAGCGCCAGCCAATCAGGAATCAAGAGCCCTCCCCACCCATTGGGGGTGGAAGTCTCCCGCAGCAGCCTGTGCACACTTCTAAAAAACGTCCTGAGTTTTCGCGGGAAAAAAACTCCTAGCAGCTGGAAGGAACCCGCGTTCTCGTGCTCACTTGGGTCTTCCGCCACTCACGCGGCTCCCTTCTGGGTCACCCATCGCAGTGCCAGGCGCTCCAGGGAGAGCAGAGTGCGGATCGCCGCCGCGAGAGAGGTGAGTGGAAGAGCGCGCTATATGCACACAGTGGCGGGCGGGGCACCACGCGAAACTGAAAGGAACCTTTCTCACGCGTGGCTGCGGGGACTTGCTTCAGGGGATTCTATGTCTTCTACGCTTAACCTCCTTACTGGCCAGTCGCATCACGTTGACGGCCCGGCTTAGCGGGGAGCTTTGCAAAACTTTCCCGCGCGTGGGGTGATATTTGCAGAGACCCATCGCCCACGCGTGGGTTCCACACCTTGTGTAAGAGAAATCTGAATTGTGTCCTCCACGCTGAGCCTCCCTCTCTGGCCCTGAGCACACGGTTACACCCGAAAACTTGGCAGAAGTTTCCCGCGCGTGGCTCCGGGCAGTGCAGAGCACCGCGCATGCGTGCTTCTGCATCCGTTGAGGGGTAACCTGAGGGGCATCCTCCACTCTGCACCTGGTTTTTTTATCCTCCCGGATGCCGCTAAAGTTCGCGGGAAATGCGTGGGGACCGGCGGGGGAGTGCACGCGGCTCCATGCCTGGAAGCTGACGCTCCGCGAGATTCAATTGTCGCGCCCGAGTCGGGTTTCGCGCGCCCTGGCGCCTCAGAGTACATCTGGGCCAATCGTGTGCGAGGAGGGCGGGGCATGTAACCCGGAGGAGCCAATCGGTAGCGGGCTCTCCGGGAAGGGCGGAACTTAAACGGCGGGGCTCAAGGGGTCTGGCCTGGGCGGCGGCGGTGGGTGTGGACGTGGGCTCAGTGCCTCCCGGGTTTTTAAAGCGCCTTTCGGAGAGGCCAGGGTCGGTGTCCCGGGGGGAAGTCAGGGCAGCCAGCTGTGGGTGAGGCTCAGGTGAGTTTATGGCCACGAGCGCGCGCGAGCGGGTGGCCCGACCCGGACCGTCGGTTGCCATGGCCACGGCGGGGGGGAATTGCTCTAAGCACGCGCGCAGGAGACTCGGGTCCGGAACTCAGGGGGAGTCCCGAGTGGTGTGTGTGTGGAGGCCCTGCCTTCTGTGATCGAGTTCGGGGTCCCGGGACTTTTGAGAGGTTCCAGTCCGCTTCGGAGTGGCGAGTTCTGGTTACGGGGACTTAAGACTGCCTGGAATGAATGAATGAACGGCTGAACGTATGAATGAATAGCTGCGGCCACTTTCACCCTGATCAGGGCCTTTCTCCCGCCATGGACGTTTTTTCCCTCCCCCTTTTTGGGTACGTGGTGGATGGTCTTGGATCACCCAGGATGTCTTGGCAGTCCACACCCAAGTGTCCCCACTCGCCTGTTATTAAAACGCTAAGTGCCTAATTTATGCCATCTGGTCCTCCCAAGGTGGGGTCTGGCCCCGTGTTGGGGGCCAGGGCTACAGAAGATTGGCCTTGGGAGTTGCTTCCTTTGCTCAATCAGATGTAAAGAAAGCTCCTGGGGTGAGGGTACTCCACTTCCCCTCCTCCTGGCAGGCCACACTGATTGGGGTCTCCCTCTGTCTCTCTCTAGTCCTCCAGTACTTCGGCATCATGTGGATCCAGGTTCGAACTATGGACGGGAAGGAGACCCACACCGTGAACTCTCTGTCCAGGTTGACCAAAGTGCAGGAGCTGAGGAAAAAGATTGAGGAGCTGTTCCACGTGGAACCCCAGCTGCAGAGACTCTTTTACAGGGGCAAACAGGTAAGGTGGCCGCGGGAGCCTTCATCTACCCAGCGCTTTGTTCCAAGCCTCCTGCCTCTCAAAACAACCAAGTAAGAGCCCCCCTCTCCAGTCGGTCCCGTCCCGTCCCGGATGCTGGGGAGGAGGAGGGGGTGAACAAAGGCAGGCCTCCTCAGCAGCCGGGCAGCTGGCCTCGCGCTTTGAAGCCTGGTACTTTTTATTATCTTTTAAACTCTCTTCTAAAAACTATTTTTCTTGAGGAAAAAGTTTGAAGTGGCCAACAGAGGGCCCAAGGAGGTTTTGGCTTAAAATTTGTTTAAACAGTTTTCACATGGCAAGTGTGAGAGGGGACCAGGTTTTTCTTTTGCGACCCACCCTGATTGCCTGCAGCTTGCTCCTGTGAGATAGTAACCTTCCTGGAGGGTCCGTTTTACTCACAGAACTGTGATTTATCTAGGCTTGTGGGGAAAATGGGGCCAGTGGTCCTTATGGAGGGGTAGCCCCGTGTTAACCTCTCCACTCCTCTCTCCAGCCACCGTTGCAGCCCAGCTGCCTGCACGTGGGATGTTTTATCCTCATCATCTAGCTGGGCTTTCTTTTGTTGGTGTCTAGATGTACTGAGAGTAGAACGTGCTGGCACTGGGGTCTCTGGTGTGAGACAAGTGCCTGCGAGGCCATTTGGAGCTGAGTGCACTGCAGCCAGCAGAGGAGGGTCCAAAGTAAATTTGCCAGGTTTTCATGGCCCATACCCGCCTTTGTGGTTGGGCAGGGCACTGCTGCCCTCTGGTGTTCAGGCCCCAGCGTTTGGTTCTTGTACCCCTCCCTGGCCCCAGGAAGGGCTGTGACTGGCCCTGTCTTCTGGATGGCAGTGGGAGTGCTGGTGTACCTGGGTATATGTGAGCAGTGTGTTGGACTGCCCTCCGTGGAGACTCATTTCCTTTTATACCCAGTGTATCTCCTGGGCACTGTGTGTAATGGGTCAAGTTCACAGAAGGTGGAAGGTGCGTAAGCGTTAGTGCCCATATGTCAGTGGCCTTACTCACTGCAAACATTCAGCTTTTAACCCTTGGCTTTCCACTGGCTGCCTGTGTCTTCTATCGGGTCACTGGGCTGACTTCTGGGACCATCTCAAAGGTGAGGATGCTTTCCCAGGTTTCCCCTGAACAGTGTCATTTGTCTTTATTGGGAGACAGGGTTTCATGTAGCCCAGGCTGGCCTTGAACTTAGATCTGCCTGCCTCTACCTAAAGGAATGAGCAATGTGTCCAGCCTCACAGTTTAACCTGTAGCAAACCTATAGCATACATTACTACCTGGTCCCTTTCATACCCCTCTCCATGCTGTAGCTCTGTTGGCTTTGTCAGGGATTAGGTGCTGGCTTCCAGTTTCTTTCCCAGCTGTTGGGGCTACTAGGAGACAGCAGGTCATGGGGAGAGAACAAGGGGCTGGAAGGTGGGAACAGGCAGAGAGCTGGAGAAAGCCTACTTCTGTGGTGGTTGATAGCAACAGAAACCATGCAAGTAGGCCATACTTACAAAAAGTTTTAGATGGTTCATGACTCACTGCCTTTCTCCTTTTCTCCTGTGGCCCAGATGCCTGGGTCCTTTGAGACTTGAGAACTGAAAGGACCTAGCTGGTGTCTGGAGTTGGTGTGCTGGCCCCTCCTTGCTTCTGAACAGGGTGGCAAGTAGGTGGGAGGGGACTCTGAGCAGAGTCCCTGCCAGGGCAGATGTGAGCTGTGTCTGGTAGACCCATGTTACTCTTGAAACTGCCTGTGAAAATAGCAGCAGTCTTCAGTGTGCTCAGTATGTGCAGGCTTTACTCTAAAGTTGCCAAGTTCTCTGGTCAGGGGCAACTTAACCTTTCATGTCCCTAGCATGGCTGGCTGCTGGCTGCTGCACATGGTGATGGATGTTAGGAGTCCAGCAGGGCCTGCCTTGCTGGCATCACCAAGTATCAGCCCAGGGCCCCCCAGGGTGATGTAGACTCAGGGTGTTCTGTTTCTATGTTGGGGTTCCCTGCTGTTAAGACAGTCTCTAGAAATCACCCAGGAGCCCCTTGGAATACTTCCTTCTCGACTTTCCCTGAAGCTGGTCTTATGGATGATTGACATGAGCCATGCTGACAGTATTGGTTAGATGCTTGTCTGGCATGCTTGAGTACCTGGGGAACCACAGCTGTCATTCCAGCCCTGGGTCAGTCTCCTTTACCTGTGGAGTTCAGAGTCAGCCTGGGCTACAGATAACCTGTTGCCCTCCTCCCTACCCCAGTGTGTCAGGAACAAAGTGGCTGGGCCCAAAGCCTATCTCAGGCTGTTCAGGAGGCTGAGACTGGATTGCAGGTTCAAGGCCAGCCTGGGCAGTCTTGTCTTGAAGTGTTACTTGTTGATTTTTATACTTCCTTGTTACTGTGTGTGCATGTTGTGTGTACGGGGTCAGAGGACTGTGGGAAGTTGGCACTCAGCAGGGCAAAAGCTCTCACCTGCTGAGCCATCTCACCAGCTGTTACTTACCTTGATAAAGGTCCCATGTAGCCCAGGCTGTAGTCAAATTCACTATGTAGCTTAGGATAACCCTGACCTTGTTTCTACTTGAGATGGAGTGACAGATTTGTGTAGTGCTGGGGATGGAGCCTGGGGTCCTGTGCACACTGGTGTGTAGGCAGTCCCTGCCCTGGGTTTTATTATTATTATTATTTTGGGTTTTTTTTTTTTTTTTTTTTTTTTTTTTTTTTTTGAGACAGGGTTTCTCTGTGTAGCCCTGGCTGTCCTGGAACTCACTCTGTAGACCAGGCTGGCCTCGAACTCAGAAATCCGCCTGTAGGTTTTATTCTCAATTTTAGAAATTAGCAGGAGTTGTGACTGAGTGCTGGATTTAGCTGTTGTTGTTGAGGTCATTGAGTGGGAGTTGAACATTTAGGTTCTTAGACTGTCCTGTCTTGTCCTGTCTTCTTGTGACAGATGGTCCCAAGGGTGACCAGAGTCTGGGCTCACATGCTTTCCTGAATTTCCTAACCAGCCATTTGGCAAGTGGGATATAGGTGGGGGCACTGCACCCACCTCTAGTCTTAGTCACATGCCATTGCAGGCTTCTACCTGCCTCCCTAGGGCCTTCTGGGGTAGTTCCAGAAGCCGTCCAGCTGGCCTTGTGAGTGAGGAGTTCTAGTTAGAACTGCCGAGTGAGTCTGCCCCAAGCCTGTTACAGCCACATCTTGCCCTGCATGTTGAGTGGAGGCTGCCCTTACCATCCCAGGCTGTGACCGTGGTTGGACAGCTTGGTGGGCTCCTTAGGGGGAGGGCCTGGGGGGCAGGGAGGCTTTTGTGGTTTGATTGCCTGCCCTGCTGGCCCTGCCTCCTGGCGGGTCCAGCACTAACCACCAGTTCTTGGGCCCAGTAGCTACCACAGTTTGCTTTGTATTTGAAAACTTTGGGCATATGTATGTGTCTGTGTGTGTCATATGCATAGGCATTGTATGCAGATAGCTGTCAGATGTCCTTAGTTGCTTTCTTAGCTGTGCTCCTGTTTCTGACTGAGTAATGTCTCCCTTTGCGGATGGCACACAACAGTATCTGTCCATCTGCAGAAGGACTGGGCTTTACTGTGGCCACTGCCTCATGTGCTTTCTCTCCGGTCCCCACTTCTGTCTTGGGATCCCCAAGTCTGGCGTGTGGTGCAAAGTCCTTGTGTTGGGTGACAGGTGTTGTGGAGTGTGGGTCCTGGCCTCCAATGTAAGCCTGCATCAGAGCTGTCATGGACTGGTGACCACATTGTCTCCTAAGCTGTTTGTTCCTACAGCAAGTCCTGTTCCTGCAAAGAGAGTTCCCTAACACAGAGTTCCCACAGAAAGACCCAGTCCCGTTCCTGAAGAGTCCTGTTCCCTCAGACAGGTTGCCATCCCCTCTACCCCCCAATCCTACTTCCACACCAGGAGTCCTTCCCTCCCCTTCCTGCAGTCCCAGTCCCCCACATCTGTCGTCAGGCTTGGTCAGGCCCGTTCTCGGGTTACCATTGGCTATGTGGGCTGCAAGCCTTTCTCTCATATGCCCTCAATAGTTTCCAAGGATGGGGGTGTTATTCACTGTAACCCTAAAACTTCCATTGGGACTGATAGTGTGTTACATATGGTTCTCTGGAGCAGCCATGAGGGCCCAGGCTTGGGACAGAGCTGGCCTGGTCTCTATTCTCCATCTACTCCTGCCGCATGCCAGGCCTTTGAGGAAGACAGTCTGTTACGGATTTCCCCACAGATGGAGGACGGTCACACACTCTTCGATTATGATGTGCGCCTCAATGACACAATCCAGCTGCTGGTGCGCCAGAGTCTGGCACTACCTCTCAGTACAAAAGAACGCGACTCGGAGCTCTCAGACTCTGACTCTGGCTATGGTGTGGGTCACAGTGAATCAGACAAGTCGTCCACGCATGGTGAAGGGGCAGCTGAAGGAGATGACAAGACTATATGGGAGGACACGGACCTGGGGCTGTACAAGGTGAGGTTCCCTGTGGCTGTGTGCACATGTAACGGTGGCTTTCTGGGTTTGCCCCCAACCCAGATTTATACTTTGCCAACTCTGGCAATGCCTGCCCATCACTGTACTGATAGCCGCGCAGGGTCTCTTGGGACTCCTTGGTGACTACACTATAGTTACTACTTGCAGGTGTTCCCTCTACAGTTGAAACTTCTGTTTGACAAACTGGAGGTTAAGCCTCCCTGAGAAACTGGTTGAGGTTGAAGAGTGCCCCATGAGAGCCACCTCTGCCCTCTGTGGCCACATCACTCTTGATCTGTCTGTTGTATCTGCTTTGTTGTATCTGCTTTGTGGCAGTACAGTGTCTCACCCAAGGATCTAGGGTTACATGGGAGCGTCCACTCTGGAGGGTATGGAGGCTTGGAATGTGCTCAGCACCTGGACTTGTGGTCACTACTTATTTGCTGTCAGTAAACCTCTATGGAGATTGTCATAGCCATCAGAGCAGAGGTCACCTGCAGAAGGTGTTTGTTGAGCTGTGTGTACAGAGTCTTACCCAGTGTCTACAATGCTGAGCTTTGCTGCCAGGTAGAGCATGGTGGTTCACACCCAACATCCCTTTACTCTGGAGGCAGCACGCTTGAGTGTGTGAGGCCAACCTGGGCTACAGAGTGAGACTTGTAGGCATAGCTGGGCACAGGCACACTTGTCTGGCATATGTGACCCTAAGTTCAATCACCAGGACTACCTAAGCCAAATGAAACCTCTGTGCCCACAACCCAAATCCTTGACCCTGGTTCTGCTCTGCTGCTGGGTCTCCTGAGCCTTCTTGCTTCCCATAGGTTAATGAGTACGTGGATGTGCGTGACAATGTCTTCGGTGCATGGTTTGAGGCCCAGGTGGTCCAGGTACAGAAGAGAGCCCTATCTGAGGATGAACCCTGTAGCTCCAGTGCCATTATGAGCCCAGAGGATGACATCATGTACCATGTCAAGTACGACGAGTGAGTGCCTTCCTAGTCTCCAGCCCAGGCCAGAGCCACTGCCCTTCACTTCCCAAGTGACTGTTTGTTGTCAGGGATCTGGGGTCTACCCTTGGCCATCCTCATCGCCCTGTTTAGACAAAGGGCCCTTCTCTAGGTTCCTAGTGCTAGGAGCTCAGCCATGAGCTGCCCTGCCTTGATCTCTTTCTGTTAAGTCTTGTGTGTGTGGAGATCTCTTGAGTGTCCTTGAGCCCAACCTTCACAGGAGAGTTTCCATGAGACCAGTATCCAATAGGCTGAGGAGGCCCCTGCACTTATGGCTTTGCTGAACTTCCCTCTCCCGGTTATTATATGCTGAGGTTTTGGCCTCAGCTCTTTACTGTCCATGGCCTGGATGGCCTGGATGGCTTGCCTGCCTGCCTAGGATGGTTCCCTCAAGATAGTAGATGGTACAGATCCCAGTAGCATAAGTTGACATCTCATTAGAGATTTCCATGTTCCAGCTCTGGGATCACATGTGGCCCCTGCTTATTGTTGTCGATAAAACTTTATTTAAATAGTCAGCCATTTTGTGTGGAAGTCCTTTACAGAGAGTGCTTGCTGAGCAGAGTTCTGTGATGGACCTGAAGTGAGTAAATCTGAGGTGGGTGGTATAGCTCACAGTTGCCCAGAGAGCAAGCGTTGCAATACGCAGGAGAGTGCTCTCTGTGGAGTAGTCAGCTCTGGTCTATCTGCCTCCACACATGGATGTGGAGGAACATTTTACTTGTCTCTGAACAGTTTGCTCAAGTCTGGTTCCCCAGGCCAACCGTGCTAGGCTGCCCTGACTTGGTATTTGTAGGCATATGGCCATCTCACCATCATGCCTGCTCTTGTCTGTGCTACATCCTTGCTTCTGTTTGTCACTTCTGTCATGAGAACCAAGAGCTGTCCTTACTCCCAGTGGGCCCACCTAGCTGCAAAAGCTTCACTTTCAAGTCGATGTCTCCCTAGGTGCTGGGATGGGGAGGAAGTCACTTTGGGAGGCCACATTTGTCCACATGTTCCACATACCTGGACCACCAGCTTAGACACTGGGGTCCCCCAGAATATGGCTCCCCATGCTACCACATCTCTGCCCCTTTGAAGGGACTGCGTGGTTGGCCTGGTAGGTCTGAGGTTGGGCTTTTGCTTGCAGCTATCCAGAGCATGGAGTGGACATTGTCAAAGCCAAGAATGTTCGTGCTCGTGCTCGAACTGTGATCCCGTGGGAGAACCTGGAGGTGGGTCAGGTGGTCATGGCCAACTACAATGTGGACTACCCCAGGAAACGAGGCTTCTGGTATGATGTTGAGATCTGTAGGAAGCGCCAAACCAGGACGGCACGTGAGCTCTACGGCAACATCAGGCTCTTGTGAGTGACCTGCTTGGACAGGGACCCTGACAGCCTCCCTTATCCTCCCATCGGGCCCTCTCTGGGCTAGACTCACTCCAAGGCTCCCAGACTTAGCTTTCTGGATGCTTCTGTGTGTTTGTCCACGTTGTCCCCATGTTATGGGAGGGTGTGGGCTTGAATGGTTCTTGGAGGCCTGCCAGCTTACACTTAGCAGCCTTGTATATGCACAAGGGCAGTTGCCTCCTTTGGAGGGTACCAGATCTTGTTGTCTTGCTCAGGCTAACTTCAAACACCTGCCTCAGTGGGTAATGGTACTTGCTGTGCAAACATGAGGACCCGAGTTCAAATCCCTAGCACCCACATAAAAGCCACATGCAAAAGCTTGCACTGCTGTAGGGACATGGGAGCCAGGGGCAGAATTCCTAGACGTCCATGGCCAGCTAGCCTGGCAAATGCAGGCAGAAATCGAGACTGGACAGGTGAAGGGTGCTCTGACCTGTGTAGCGTAGGACTCCCCAGATTACGGGATGCACACATGTAGAAACCAAAGGGGAGGAACCCACCTGGGTGGAAGCCAGGCTCAGCCACATAGGGAGCTAAGGTTTTGCGATGTTTGCAGGAATGATTCTCAGCTCAACAACTGTCGGATCCTGTTTGTGGATGAGGTCTTTAAGATTGAGGTCTGTGGCGAGGGGAGCCCCCTGATGAGTAGCCCCTCGCAACGTGAGTCTTGGTCAGGCCCTGAGTGCACCTGGGTGGGGGTGGCAGTCCCAGGTGGCATTGTGGCCTGCTGCAGCCCCTCCTCCCCTCCGGAACACAGGGAAGAGTGGCCCGTCCTGCCAGTACTGCAAGGATGATGAGAACAAACTATGTCGCAAGTGCGCCTGCCATGTGTGTGGTGGGCGTGAGGCTCCTGAGAAACAGGTGCTGTGTGATGAGTGTGACATGGCCTTCCACCTGTACTGCCTGCAGCCACCGCTCACCTGTGTTCCCCCTGAGCCGGAGTGGTGAGTGACATACCTCTGGGTTCACCTGGCATGTAAGACAAGGCTGGGAGGTGGCTCAGCTTTGATGCACAATTCTGCTGTTCTGAGTTCAAATCCCAGCACTCACATCAAAAGCTGGGCTGTTACATGGCCCTTTGAGCCCAGTGCTGGGGGAAGCAATGACAGGAGTTTGGCTAGGACCTTCTGACTGCCAGCTCGGCTACAGGCTCAGTGAGAGGAAACTGTTAAGGGAGTGTGGCTCATGTCCCTCAGGTCTGCCACTATGTCCCCTTCCACTGTGTGACTGTGCACTTGGAGCTCCTGAGGCTCTCCTGCACAAGGGGGCTGCTGCACAAGGGGGCAGCACAAGCTGTCTGACCCTGTGCAGATGGGAAATCCGAGGCTCTGGCAGAGAAGGAAGGATATTGTCACATGGCCTATGCTCTTTCCCTTACTCAGCGTTGAGATTTGCTCGTTTTAAAGACAGGGTTTCTCCGTGTAGCCCTGGCTGTCCTGGAACTCACTGGTCTTGAACTAACGAGACCTACCTGTCAGCCTTACCAGTGCTGAGATTAAAGGCATATGCCACCACTGCCCAGCCTTTTGACTTTTAAAATTTTTATTTATTTTAATTTAAGTTTTATTTCATATGCATTGACATTTTACCTGAATGAGGTGTCAGATCCTCTGGAACTTTTGAGCTGCCATATGAGTGCTGGGAATTGAACCCTTGTCCTCTGGAATAACAGCCAGTGCTCTTAACCGCTAAGCCTAAAATTTGTTTTTATTGTTATACTTAATGTGTGTGCAAGTGAGTAGGGTACCCACAGAGGCCAGAAGTATCACATCCACCTGGAGCTGGAGTAACAGGTGACTGTCATCCCAATGATGCACATACTGGGGACTGTACCCCAGTCCTCTGCAGACGCAGCCAGTGTTACACCACTGCTCCAGCTCTGCCCTTGACGGTTGTGGAGGGGGGTGGAGGGGTTCTTTTTGAGACAGGGTCTGATTTTATAGTTCAGGCCTGCTCTGTGCTGTAACACTTGCTGGGAATATAGGAATGAGGGACTCTGCTTGGCTTTGAAGTTTTTCTTTCTTATAATGTAGCCCTCGCTGTTCTGGAACTCACTTTGTAGACTAGGCTGGCCTTGAATTCAGAGATCCACCTGCCTTTGCCTGCTGAGTGCTGGGATAAAAGGTGTGTGCCACCATGGGTCTCTGGGGTTCTTAAAGATTTTTTTGTTTTATTTTTGTTTTGTTTTGTGTTTGTGTGTGGGGACAGGTTGGGTACTTATTCTCTATCACGTAGGTCCTGGGGATTAAACTCAAGTAAGTCCTCAGGCTTGGTGACAAGCTGCTACCTGCTGAGCCCTCTCACTAGTTTTCTGCAGGCAGGGCTCTTAGCGGAAAACTAAGAGAACTCAGGGCCTGTAGGCATTCTGTAACAGTCGGGGTAGTCCAGCCTGGAGTTTAGCCATGTACCTCCAAGTGCACACGGCTGCACGTGGATGGTGGGGCACATCCATAGCTGCCCAGGGACCACATTCCTGATTTGACCAAGTAAGCTCTCATGACCTGGGTTCTGAACGGCCATGTCTGGGTTCTGTCTCTAGTGTCTGGGGGAAGGACACTATTCATCTTGCTCTTGGACACCAGGCCACATGCAGGTGACATTCTTGTCTTCCTAGGTACTGCCCCAGCTGTCGAACTGACTCCAGTGAGGTGGTACAAGCAGGGGAGAAGCTGAAGAAAAGCAAGAAGAAGGCAAAGATGGCGTCAGCCACTTCTTCCTCCAGGCGGGACTGGGGCAAGGTGAGGCACACACCTTCCTTCTTGTCCTGTCCCCATCCCCGTCCCCATCTCTCACATAACCCTTTCCACGTGGCAGGGCATGGCATGTGTTGGCCGCACCACAGAGTGTACCATTGTGCCCGCCAACCACTTCGGACCCATTCCTGGTGTCCCTGTGGGGACCATGTGGCGCTTCAGAGTCCAGGTACGCTGATCCTACAGGGTTCCAGACATTTCTCTACTGAGTTTGTGTCTCAGATGTGGCTGGGACAGGAAATGATAGCAAGTGAGGTTCAGGTGGGTGGCTGCTGGGACAGGGTTGCAGCATGACCCTAGACCTTAGTCACGGCTAGCTCCTTTATGGTGGCTATACTCAGCCATTGGGCCAGTGTGCTCTTGTCAGGGACTGATCCTGGGGTATGTGGGGGTCACAGTCCCCAGGAGATGTAGTGCGCATCTTGGTAATGTTCACAGGTCAGTGAGTCCGGTGTGCATCGGCCGCATGTGGCAGGCATCCACGGCCGGAGCAACGACGGTGCCTACTCGTTGGTGCTGGCTGGTGGCTATGAGGATGATGTGGTGAGCACTGTGCCCCCTCCCTCACTAAGACTTCCTCTGTCATGTTACCCAGCATGACTAATGCAAGGAACAGAATCGAGGCTGGCTCGGGTAGCATGTCGGGATTCTTTCTTTGTCATTCTGCCCAGTCTCCACACTGGTACCCACCCTCAGTGCTGGCCAGAGGTGCAAGGTCACACTCTCAACATGTCTTAGTCATTCCTCTCAGACCTAATAGTGTCCCCAGACAACAAGAACAGAGACACTCGTGGTTCATTTCTGTCAGAGAAAGAGATGTCACGAGGTGTTACCTAAAGCACAAAAATAAGCCTTGATTTTATAAGGAAAGAAATAACGGCTCTGAGGATGCCGCAGCTGAGTGTGGTAGGGTGGGGCAGCAGGAGCCGGCCTGGCTTTGTGGTCAGGGCTGCTGTGTTAGTGTGTGATGGCTGCTTAATTAGAAGGGAAGGTAGGAAATCACAGGGTGGGGCAGATATTCCACACCCATGGTTCAACCCTCCCTTCTCAGCAAAGGGGGCACCCCAAGTTCAGTAACCAGGTGCCACTGTCAACTACATCCACCTCCAGAACCTTGCTTCTTCCCTGTGCTGAGGCTCTATCTCATCAGGCATTGAACTTCCTTCATCTCAGCAGTTCCTGACACACACTGTCCTCCCTCACTGTGGGTCTGACAACTGGGGACTCCAGGGCATGGGACCCCATGCTGTGTGTTCCCAAGTCTGGCTCATGTTACTAAGCATTGTGCCTTCCAGTTCCCTCTGTGTTGGAACAGGACTCTGTGCCATTTCAAAGAGCTGCACTTGGTTTGTCTGTTATGAGGACACAGGGTGGCTGTGTGGCTCCTCTGGGCATCCATATCCCACTGCCCTTCAGGGTTCATACTCTGGTCCTCACCTTGTTGGGCAAGGTGTACTCACCCTTATGCTGAGGGCTCATGCAGCCATTCTTCTCCACTGCAGGACAATGGCAATTTCTTCACGTACACAGGGAGTGGTGGCCGAGACCTCTCTGGCAACAAGCGTACAGCGGGACAGTCCTCTGACCAGAAGCTCACTAATAACAATAGGTGTGTTGAAAGCATGGCCCCTGTGCCATGGGTATGACTGCTCTTGTGTGGCAGAGGGTGAAGGGGAAACAGGTTCCTTATTCACTCTTGCCCAAAGACGACCTGAGCTTGAGTTTTGAGACAGTGTGCCGTATCAGGCTGGTTTGGACTTCAGAGATCTACCTGCCTCTGCCTCTCAAGTGCAGAGGTTAAAGGTGATGGGCTCTAGACTCGTCTCATCTCAGGCTTATTCAAGCAGGCATCTTCCCTGAAGGCTACAGAAGGTGTTCTATTTTGTATGTATGAGTGTTTTGTCTAGATGTCTGTACACCACTTGTGTCTAGTATCAGGCCACAAGAGGCCTTCAAGTCCCATAGAGCTGGAGTAGCTACAGATAGTTGTGAGTTCCTGTGTTGGTGCTGGAAATTGAACCTGGGTCCTCTGCAAGGGCAGCTGGTGCTCTAACTGCTCAGCCATCTGTCCAGCCCCATGGCTGTGAATTCAGGCCAATGCTATCCACTCAGCTATGCCCCCAGCCCGAGGAATTGTCTCCAAGTCATGTTTCCATAGACAGTGATGTCTAATGCTGGGAAGAGGCTACGCCGCCTAGCCTTGTGCCTGTTCTCTCCCTGGGGAGAGCATTACCAGGAAATCTCTTTCTGGTTGTATACCTTGTTCAGACCTCTTCTGTTTCTTTCATGGTGGATCTGTGTCTCGTGGCCACAATCCCAGCCATGGGTAACACTTTCATCTCAGTTTGGGGGAGAGGTTCTGGGCAGGGTCCCCTGTGTTCTGATCTGCAGTCAGGGTACAGCTGGTTATTGTAACACATCTTCCAGGGCAGTGTCCACAGAGGCCAGGAGAGGGTGCTGGATCTCCTGGGTCTGGAGTCAGACAGTTGTGAGTTACCACATAGGTGCTGGGAATTGAACTGAATCCTTTGAGAGCAACCAGTGCTTTAGCCACGGTGCAGCCTCTGCAGTCCATTTTGGGAACATGTAGATCAGACAGTAGCCTTTGGCAGGTTCTGGCCTGTGCTAGAGATCTTATCTTGGTGTCTCGATGATGTGATCTCCATGGATCGATGAATGCCAGGGTATGCCTCTCCTGGGGAGACATGTTGTAAATTCTCATGTGTGTCCTGTCTCCCCAAAGGGCTCTGGCACTCAATTGCCACTCCCCAATCAATGAGAAAGGTGCTGAGGCTGAAGACTGGCGCCAGGGGAAGCCAGTCCGCGTGGTCCGAAACATGAAGGGTGGGAAACATAGCAAGTACGCCCCCGCAGAGGGCAACCGTTACGACGGTATCTACAAGGTGAGTGGTGAGCACCTGCCATGTCCTCCTGCCTGTGTCCCATGTCCTCATGCCCTGAGATCCCCATCCCACCCTGCACCAGCCACACTGTGCTGTCCACAGGTGGTAAAGTACTGGCCAGAGAGAGGAAAATCTGGCTTCCTCGTGTGGCGCTATCTCCTTCGACGAGATGACACGGAACCCGAGCCCTGGACCCGGGAGGGCAAGGACCGCACTCGTCAGTTGGGGCTCACTATGCAGGTGTGTCTTTGAAGGCCAGGGGTCAAGGAATTTGCAACTCTTTTGAACGTGCTGTCCATTATGGTGGGAGCTGGGATTGAGGGCGCAGCGCTTTTCTCTGCTTCCAAGCCCCAGGCTCTCCAAGGTTTCTATCTCCTCCAAGCCAGGTTAGGAATTATGATCCTTGCCCTCAGAAGGAGGGTTGTAAGTTCATGGCCAACCTGGGCTACATACATAGCAAGACCCTTTTGGCAAAACAGAAATGGGATTGGGCCTATGGCTCTGAGTAGAGCATTCCCCTTCCTGAAGCCTGTGTTTTATCTGCAGCACCACATAAATCAGGCATGATAGCGGTTCAAGACCAGCCTCCACAGTGAGGAGGCCAGCCTGGACTACACAGGATCCTGTCTTAAAGAAATTCCTAAGTGTGGAGAGAGTGATGGCTCTGTGGTTGAAAAGCATTGGCTGCTCCCACAGACAGTCTTAGTTCGGTTCCCAACATTCATAAGGCACCCAACAATGTCATGAGACCTGACAGCCTCTTCAGGCAGTGCACACACTTACTGCATACACATGCATGTAGGTAACACACCAATACACTAAAAGAATCAATCCAAAAAGGTTGAAGTCACAGGTGGATCTGGATATGCAGGTGACATATCTGATCAGCCACCCCTGTGGCTAATGTTGGCTTCTGCTCCTCTGACTCTTGATGAAAGCTAATGAAAGCATCAGCAGAAAGAAGCTACCAGAACTGACAGAACACAGGTAGTGGACATGGCAGCTAAGGATAGCAAACCCCCAAGAGCAGAGCTACCTTACCTTTTTGCAGCCAGAACATTAGTCACACTTTTATCCTGTTGGGGACATTTAAGGAACCTTTGTGGCCCAAAGGGTATGCTGGCATGTCCTCAGGATTTGTAGGTTGCAATGAGTGTGTCCGTAGCGCAGTGTACAGAAACTGGGGGTGTGTGCACAAGTGTTTGAGGAAGCAGGGTTGGGGCTAGGAGAGAGGGTCAGTGGTAGGACTAGTTTTTCTTTGTGTGGTTTTAAAAGGTCTCATTTTGTAACTGGCTGGCCTGTAACTTCTAACGGTCCCCTTGCTGCAGTCTCCCAGATCATAGGTGGGGCATCACCATACCTGGCTTCCTGGACCTCCAACTAGCCTTAAGGTTGCTATATATAGCTCAGGATAACCTTTGAACTCCTGACCCTCTCTTTACTTCTAGTGAAGGGTGACAGGAATGTGCTGCAAGTCCTGGCTTTATTTAGTTTTGGGTAAGAATCTTCCCACATAGTCTAGGTTGCCCTTAAAGGATTAATGACCTCTGAGTGCTAGGATCTCTTTGCTGCCACACTTGGCCTCCATTCCTGGACAGTAAGTCCTCTCAGGTGCCCAAGAGCTTGTTGGGTGATGATGCTGTGACTCTGCAGGATGGGTACTTAACTCTGCCTCCTATCCCTGTCCGTTCAGTACCCTGAAGGCTATTTGGAGGCCTTGGCTAACAAGGAGAAGAACAGGAAGCGCCCGGCCAAGGCCTTGGAGCAAGGACCCTCACCTTCCAAGATAGGCAAAAGCAAGCGGAAGTCCACAGGTGAGTGGCCACCTATTGGGATTTCGTGTCATCCTGTACATCCCACATGTCTGATGTGCTCACCAGCACTGCTGCACTCCCCACAGGCCCAGCTACCTCCAGCCCCCGTGTCTCTAAGAAGAGCAAGCTGGAGCCCTACACGCTGCCAGTGCAGCAGGCCAGCCTCATCAAGGAGGACAAGGGCAATGCCAAGCTGTGGGATGAGGTGCTAAGTTCTCTTCAGGATGGGCCGGTGAGCCACTGGGGTCCCATTGTTCTGTGGGCAAGCCGGGTCAAAGTCTATGTCTTACTGCAGCACTCCAGCGTCTCTACACATGACCCAACACCAAAACTGTTTTTAACATTAGCTAGCTTCTGGCACCCACCATCCCTCTTTCTTGATGGCTCTGACTCCAAGGACCTCCTGAGAGTGGGATCCTGCAGTTTTGTTTTTCTATGCTGACTGACAGCACTGAGGCTCACCTATGTTGGAGCGGATGTTTAGAATACACCTTTTCATGGCTGAGTAATATTCCTCTGCGTATACTGCTTTCTCCGGTGGTGGTCCATCTATCCATCAGGCTCATATGCTGTCTTAGGGTTTTACTACTGTGAACAGAGAGTTCTACATCTTCATCAGAAGGCATCTGGGAGAGTATTTGGCTTCCAGGCAGCTAGAATGAAGGTCTAAAAGCCCATGCCCACAGTGACACACATACTCCAAAAAGGCCACACTTCCTAATAGTGGCAGTCCTGGGTCCAAGCATATTCAATCAAACAACCACACGTGGGCTGCTGTGTGGCTGCGTACGTATTTCCTGTTGTGCCACTGTGGCTCTGGCGGTGTCTTTTTGCCCCTGCTTTGCTTGACTTAAGTGTGTCCCGGGAGTGAGACCCCTGTGTCATGTAAGCCCTATATATATGTGTTCATGAAGACCTCTTAAAGCAGGGTGTACCTGCCTTTAGCAAGGCTGTGTGACATGGTGAGGCCTTGCCATGGTGGCTGCTGTCTTGGTGAGGCCAGCTTCTGGGGCTCATTCAGGGTCAAATTGAATAAAGCCTCTACTGCTATGCACTTGAGTCAGACTCTGTATGTGCCTCAGGGCTGAAAGCTGAGGTCTGGGCTTGAGGGACTCGAAGACGTTGAGCCCTGCCCTGTCGTTGTCTTGTGTCTGATTTACACTGCAGTGTCCTCAGTCTTTGCTGAGGGTCAGATGGGTGTGGGAGGCTCCATTTCTTGGCTGGGGTGAGGATGATGGAAGTGGCCCTCTCACACCTGCCTTGCAGTACCAGATCTTCCTGAGCAAGGTGAAAGAGGCTTTCCAGTGCATCTGCTGCCAGGAGCTGGTGTTCCGGCCAGTCACCACCGTGTGTCAGCACAACGTTTGTAAGGTGAGGAGGTGGCTGGAAGGTGGGAGCATGGCTTGACCACCCTCTGTCTCAGCTGTGCCATTTATAGAGATCCCAGACCCCCATACTCTGTGGGGTGTTACCAGGGACTACCAAGAGGGAGCTCAGTGGGTGCTTGAGAGTCAGGAAGGAGTCCTGTGTGGCTATTCCCAGCTGTCCCCTCACCCTCCTCATGTCTCATGCAGGACTGTCTGGACAGGTCCTTCCGGGCCCAGGTGTTCAGCTGCCCAGCCTGTCGCTACGAGCTGGACCACAGCGCCCCAACCCTGGTGAACCAGCCCTTGCAGACCATTCTCAACCAGCTCTTCCCTGGCTATGGAAGTGGCCGGTGATGCCAAGACCCAGGCAGAGGCCCCATGGATCCAAGTTCATAGTGGGTTTAGCTCGAAGGTGTTCTCCTTCCACATCTGTCCCTGGCAACTCTTTTGCTCTGGTCACCAGTTAACCAGGCACCTATAGGAATCCCATGTTTTGGTTACCAGTTGGACTTCTGTTTTTCCTCTCTCTCTCTCTCTCTCTCTCTCTCTCTCTCTCT